CAGAAGTCTCAGACAAATGAATACCCGAGATAACAAGGGACAATTGGTTGATACAAGAACTACCTATTTGATTATAGACATATTTTATACTCACCACCCCCCATACTTCTCATTTTGTAATAATAGCTTGCTAATCAGCTGAAAGGAAGAAATCCCATTTGTTGAATATTTCAGCATAAACACCACCTTTATTTGATTTGTCCAAGCCAATTTAGAAATTGGCTCATAGTAGGACATAACAGTTTTATATGACTGTGTTATTTAAATAACTTTAAAAATGTAGTATTTGAAATAGAGGAAATGCCATCCCCACCATAACCATTTCAGGAGTGAGATTGGCTCAGCCCTACAGCATAACAGCATCTATCTATTACACTAAACTGGACCATAAAAGTAAGCATATCCCATAAAACAAAATAAAATCAGGATTTATGATGACAACACTTGCACTGAGCTCTTTGAATTTCCTTTCCATTAATTGTGATCATTTTTCCCCAGTGGCTCTGCCAGTCTCACAGTAAGTTGTCACAATTATTGACACATTTCCAGCACTAGATAGAAGCATTAGGACTGATCCTGCAGGGGACTGAAATCCCAGTGACATCCGTGCAAGGTCTGTGTACCAAAGATCTGCAAGATTAAAGCCATAACTTACGGAAAAGGAACCAACCTGTGGATTACCCTGCATCATCACGGTGTGTGTGGGGGGGGGGAGGGTTTCCCCACGTAAATAGAAAATGGAGATCAAAACTGTGGTTCTGAGCTTATGTTATTAGGGCCCAGTCATCTATTATACAATGGTGGCTTTCTTAAAAAAGACTGTTTATTTAATGCAGTACTCTGCTGCCTAGAGACACCAGCTGAGAATGGGACTTCACTGCACTAGACACTGTTCATATGCATAATAATACACAGGCCCTGCTCCAACAGCTTATAGCTGACATAGATGAGACCAAACAAAGCCTGGGAGGAGAAACAGAAACACTGGGGATTGAAGTGATTTGTGTAAGATCACACAGGAGCTACTTGCAAGAGCCTGGAATCAAACCCAGATCTCCTGAACCCTATTGCTACGTGCTTCCCACTGGGCACCAACACTGTTGTAATTATATGATTGTACATTATGACAAGGGGTATGGTAGCATGCGGGTGGTCACTTATTTACCATGGGTAGGAACGGGAGAATTGCTAAAACCTGGCACCTCTGATTTGCACAAGTGCTGAGAATTTGCAACTCTAATTGAACTTAGTGGAAACTGCCAGTGCTCAGCAGTTTTGCAAATTGGGCCCTTTCAGTTTTGAATCCAGTTTGTAGCTGTGTAACTGTGCCCATCTGAATAGTATTATGACCCTGCTTATGAAGATATTATATTCATGGGCAATATATTAAAAGCAGTGTTCACCTTCCTACTTAATTTAGAAAATCTATCTCTACAGAAGGCAGACTGTGGGGATACTTAGGCTTCCCAGATGTAAACATTTTGTGCTTATAGGAGAGGCTTATTAGCTCTGAGAAGCAGCATCCCTGTCCTTCTAGTGACAAGCATGCTGCTGCTGTTTTGCTTTTCCTCCTCGGCTGGACTAGAACCACAGAACGTAAAGGGTGGGCATCTCTCTTCAGCTATCCAGACTGTGTTTGAAGAGCCTGGAGAACAGGGTGCCCTGCCACAAGAAAGCAGTGAGAGTTAATGTCAATAGTTTCTGTCACTCAGCAGAACAGACTTTCCTTTATGTCTCACAGCCTCCAATGCCAGCCATTCGACTACCATCAATCACCAAGTCCCAAGCAGTAATCATGCACTGCTGGTTTTTGTTCTGCTGTGCACAAAGTGACAAGTCTAGAATTAAGCACTTGGGGGCCTGATGCTTCCCTCGCCAGTGTAAATTGGGAGTAATTGCTTGGGAGCCCATGGCTTTTTGCCAGAAGAAGCGAGATAAGGATCAAGCACCCAGGAACAATGGGATCTGATTCGTTAGCTCTGCAAAAGGGACTATTAGCAGAGGCTCCTCTACAGATTGTACTTCGAGCGCTGTCTAATGATTGATGGAGAGCAGCACACAGCCACCAAAAGCTGCTGGATTGACAGTCCCAAAGGCAAAAGTCTCACTGATCCACCAAACAGGTCCATCCACAACAGCAGGGAAGCTAGCCCTCCACCATTTCTTACTCTGACCTGTGAAGACAAGAGCCAGACATCGTCTCTTGTGGCAGATGGCACTAGCTGAAGGACACCATGCTCCTTTCCCATAAACTACTAGACAGCCACAGCATGATGTTAGCTATTAGCCACAGCAGCTGGATTGGGACCAGTGACCTAGAAGGAAAAGGCTCTGGATCTCAGTGCACCGACCCACACAACTGCACAGGGAAGCCTCTAAGTTAGGTACCAAAAATTCAATTAGACCAGGCGTTCAAGCTGCTTCTCCTTCGATACTTTTGCACTGCACTGCCAACGTGGTTGTGCAGGTTTCTTGCCTCAGGTGCCCCCAGATCATGAAGCTTTTGCCTTTTGTTCTTGGTCTGATCCATGTGGGCTGTGCAGAGTGTCCCAAGAGAAATGTCTGTTCCCCAAGGGCGTTGTGAGGCCTCCTGTTTCCTCTTATTCTTTGTTTGTTTTACAGCTTTTCAAAGGGAAGTTTTTTGTCTGCCAGGGGGAGGATACCAGAAACATTACAAACAAATCGGACTGCGCAGAAGCCAGCTACAAATGGGTCCGGCACAAGTATAATTTTGATAATCTCGGCCAGGTATTAATGGAATGGTAATCTGCTTCTTTGCTCCTTTGCCTCCTTGATTTAAAAACCTATGTATAATTTCCCACAGGATTTTCTTGCAGAGAATTTAGGAGCCACTATAAATATCCAGTTCGCACAAACACATCCTGCATTTGTAAATCCCAGTTGCCGTGTGCATGCAGTTCCTTTTGGAATCGAACAAGCATGTGCAGCTTCGTGGAGCATTTAATTGCTTCACTGCTACATAACGAACTCAATGTATCCAGCAGTAGCACTTGTCTAATGTGGCTGGACGCTCTGTACTCAGTGCCACCTAACATCTCATCCATTTACAACAGCCACTGGAACACATCCTTAATTTAGCAGCATGGTAAGGACTAATTAGTAGTGAGCAGTGGAAACCCAGGGGGGGTGAATGAAGCTGCCTTTGTGCCTGGCTTTGTGGTTTTCAAATTAGCCCTTGTTCCTAGACCAGGATCTGACATTCATAGTTTTTGCTGCCAGGAAACCTTGAACATCAAAGTTTCCTGGTTTTGGCAAGGTGATGTGACTCCTAAAATAGGGAAGGAGAAAGAAAATGTTACGGGTAAAGAGAGAGTATCTGCTCCGCATTTTTCCCACTGCACCTAACTTTTCTCCTTGCATTTCTAGGCCCTGATGTCTCTGTTTGTTCTGGCCTCCAAAGACGGGTGGGTGGACATCATGTACGATGGCCTAGATGCTGTTGGAGTTGACCAACAGGTATATTTTCTCAGTTAACTGCTGTTAAAAATAAATTCCTGAAGAGGCCGCAGGACGGCCTTTGTTTTCCCAAGTTGGTAGTCTTCGAAAGCCATGACCAAAGTGCAGTTTGGGTCTAGATTTCATTTTTACCATAATTTTTATCAGAGAAAATGCATGGCAAGGAGTGAAATAAATTCGAGCTCATCTACTAACCGTACTTCAGGGCGAAACCCTGCCATGAAAGAACTGTAAATAGGTCTTTGCACCCACAGGCTGTGCTTGCAGTCGTGTTCTCCAGAGCTATAACACAGGGAGCAATACCAAGCTGATTGAGGGGGGGGTTGCGAGCCCAGCCGCTTCTTGAGGACCTCAAGAGAAAAGCACTGCTTTGGGTATGTGCAGGGTAGTATGATTGCCAAGTTGAGACAGTTGTATAGGATGCTGCTGGCCTGTTCCTTGGTCACACTAGTTTATGAGATTCCAGTAGTCCAGTGATTAGTTATTTTTTGGGTGCCCAGTTTGAACTTTGTGTACGAAGGGCTCTGATGGGCAGGCAGTCCCTTGTGGGCCTGTAAAGCATCCTATTTTCTACCCACTTTGAAAAAGCAGGCCTTACTACTCCAACTACCCGCTCTGGTTTGTCTGTCCTCTGCTCATCATGATTCCATGGGCATTTCTCTCTCTCTCTCTCTCTCCCTCTCCCCTTCTCTCCCTCTTTCTCTCCCTCTCTCAATCCTGTAGCCGGTCATGAACTATAACCCTTGGATGCTCCTCTACTTCATCTCCTTCCTGCTGATTGTGGCTTTCTTCGTCCTCAATATGTTCGTGGGTGTCGTGGTGGAGAACTTTCACAAGTGTCGGCAGCATCAGGAGGAGGAAGAAGCCAAGAGACGCGAGGAAAAGAGGCTTCGCCGGCTGGAGAAAAAGAGAAGGAGTAAGGAGAAACAGATGGCTGGTCGGTAGTCTTTCCACATCTTTCTGAGTCCTGCTTGACCTTTGACTCAATTCCCTACCTCCCTGCCTAGCATCCGGTGATCATTCTCCCCCCAAAAGCATGTCCAGCTACAAAATCTGCATGAAGGAAATAGTGCCATTGTAGGCTGAGCAAGGAGCCCTGGAAACTTTTTTTTTTTTTTTTTTTTTTTTT